GGCTCCATAAAGGAACACACAATCTCCTCTCACACCGAGACCATCACCAGAGAAATCTTAACAAACAACACAGAAATCATCGATAGGTACAGCGATAGCAGGCGGCTTGACGTCTGCGAGGCACTACACATCAAGAAGTCAACACCAGCAATCAACAGCCAATTAATGCACAACTATATTTTACCCACTTCAAGACTCCGCTCCAATATAGAAGCATCAAGAAATATGGGCCAATAAAAATAGGCCTTCTGCAGTTACCTACTTTTAATACCTGTTTGTATTTCATTGTTTCGTGTTCTGTCTTGTGTTAAAAGTTTATTTTCACTTCATCCAAAACTATTGTAACATGTCACTTCACTCAAATGTAGGTATAAAAACTCGAAAGATGTTTAAGCTCTATTCAGTTAGAGTTGTGTGTGTGTGTGTAAACTAAAGTCTTTGAAAATGTAATAAGTTTTACGAAACGCGCTCAAGTGTCGCGTCAGACTAGAAATAAAAATGAATTTTGGAGAATTGATCTTTGAATTACCATCAACAGTGAAAAGAAACGTAAGAAAGATCGAGAAAATTCGTGTTAGAATTATTAATCTTACTTTTTCGGTCATATTTAATAATATATGTCTACAGGAAAGACTGCTACCAAAATATACTAATATATATATATATATATATATATATATATATATATATATATATATATATATATATATATATATATATATATTTGTGTATAATATTTACCTAATGCTTGATCTCAAATTAGGCCAACATTCAGAACTGGACACTACACCAGAAAGAGGATCACATTGCACCTAATCTCGTATATCACAGATTATCTTACATCAAACACGCTTACGTAGTGAATTCCGACATGTAAGTTGCTTTACTGTATCCTGTGTCAGTGTGTACGATAAGGTGCGATAGTTTACTATCGCACTTATCAGTATCACTCTATCGCACTATCAACATTAGATTAATACATATGTACAAAGAATTGTAAACATTTGTAGTTTAGTTAAACAAAAGTTAGAATAAGGTTCGGTTAAAAATGCAAAAAGGTCTGCGAACTATATATGGAAAAAGAACAAAGAAGCAGCGAAGTGGCAGAAGCAAGGTTTAATTTTTAAATGGCTGTCTTTCCCTTTCCCTATACACACAAGTTCTTTCACCTGATACCTCTGTTCGCCTAGCAGTAAATTTTCTCACTATATATGTGCCTGGGAGTTAGACAGCTGCTACGGGCTGCCTCCTAGGGAAACGTGTGTGAGAGAAATATGCATTAGATAATATATAGGAAAACCTGGTGTGTGTGTCAGTACATTAGAGAACCAACTGTTAGAAATACTACCATCTCGACCCTACAGCTACAAATAATAAACACACACACAAAATACATATAGTTTACTTCGAAACAACAAAAATAAACAATAGAGACAGTTGAGAGGCACAAAAGTTGTTTCACGGAGTGAATAAAGCCGAGATCCAGAGGACCATGAGAGAACCATGGCGCCTGTGACCAGTATATAAGAAAAACACCTCTGCACCATCAGGAGAATAACGACGGGTGCCATCAGGAGAAACATGTAATCGATCAGTCGGTGAGCACACCCGCGGTAAAACAACGAAGCAAGAGCTTGAAAAAGACAAATGACGGGGGCTATACCAGCAAGGGAATATTGAAACAGGGAGGAGCGAATGTTTCGATACCCGAGGTGGTGAGACGGGGATGTTTGAGGAAGGTGAAACAAGGGGGAGGAGGTACGTCGATATGTGGCGTTTAATACAAAATCCTTTAAAAATATGACGTATCAGTAAAGATTTAATCACTTTAATATTGCTGTGTTTTTTTACCCATCGTCTCGATAGGTCAGATAGATTGCTTGCGTTCATCAATATCTGGTAAGGTAAAAGTAATTTTTTTTTATAGAGTGGCAAATCCAGCAGCTAACGAATTTATTCACCAAGTACTTTTGTGTCCAATTAAAAGATTTGCTGCTACTAACGCTACTTTTGTGAGCTAGTTTATATTTAATGAATAGTTGACAAGCTCCGAAAGGGTACGAGATCATCCTGTACATAATAACGGTGTTGAGAGCGACCTCGTTGCTCTTCGGAGCTCGTAAACTGGACCACGTTTTATCAAACATTTACCCAACCATTTACGAAACTTGTACATCCTTCATCAATCAAGGCGGCTATGTTTATATTTATTAAACCAGCTCCGAAGCACTACGAGACTGTTTATAACAATAATAACCTTGGGTTGTTGAGTTTCGAACCTCGTAAAGTGTTTAATGAACGAAAGCAAAGCTGCCATGATTAAGAAAAGATGTACAGGTTTCGTAAATTGTCACCTAAACACTCTTTGTGAATCCATCGTATGTTCCTTGTAACCCGTTCTTGCACTTTCTTACAGTCAATATTGACTTATTAAATAAGTGCATATGTGACATACTAATACATTGTGAATATTTTAGTTTACCTTGAAAAGCTTCATAAAAAACACCGACCTTACCTAACCTTCTTAGTATGTTAAGATAAGCATCTTATTGCTTCGTAATTACGATTATTACTTAACCTATACCTATAATAGGTTAAGTAATAATTGTAATTACGAAGCAATAAGATGCTTATCTTAACATACTAGGAAGGTTAGGTAAGGTCGGTGTTTTCTATGAAGCTTTTCAAGGTAAACTAAAATAGTCACAATAAATTAGTATGTCACATATGCACGTATTTAATAAGTCAATATTGACTATACGAAAGTGCGAGAACGGGTTGGTTCCTTGTGCTGTATTATTGACAGAATTGCTGAATATGTTGTGTAATATATAAACATGTTTTCTGACTCTCACAGACCATAACCATGCTGACAGCAAGTCAATGGTGACGAGTGTGCTTTTAAACCCATACCATTTTGTATCTCCCTATCATACGTCTCTTCCAATTATCTGAAAAGGGAATATACATATGACAAGGATTCGCAGTGCTCGATTACACCAACAGCACAGTAAATCCTCAATATATAGGCTATTACTCACTCCAAAACGGTTCATCCATCAGTGGGGGAATAGGTCAGTGGTGTGGAGTTAAATTTCCCTCTCCTTTCCCTGGCAGCTCAATACCGACATTGTTACAGGGCAAGGAACGATTGAAAAAGAAAAAAATAGGGGTTATTCAGCGGTAGAATAGTTTCTGTTGATTCATTTCATTCCTTTTCCCATCCTTGAATATATGTAGCATTCCTTCCCAGTTGGGTAGGTTCTTCCACTCTTGCCCTAGCTGCTTGCCTTAAAAGCTCCCTCCCTCCCTGCGCCCCGTTTCCCTCAATACATACGTATTTTTTGGCGCCTTTACTGGCTCCACAGGCTCAGAGATGGTCTTGCTCCCACACTTTTTTGTTTCACCTGAGAACCTTGTTTAACCCGACTTTTGTACTCTTGGCTCTGGTCTGTACTCTCTCCCTGCCTCCTTCATTCATTCTTTCCCACAATCCCCTCCATCCTGTCTTATCTTCCTTCCTCTCTTTTACATCTTCCCCTAGACCCCCTCCATCAAGTACATTCTTGTTCTCCCCTTTCTCATGCCAATTCTTCCTTCTACTCTATCGCAATCTCCGACTTGCCGCCTGCCTCGACGTCTTTCACACCTTTTCCCCAAACCCCTCGTGTTTCCGTTTCCTCATTTACCTACGTCCTTTCCAGATCTCTCTGTCGTGTATCCTCCTTCCCCTACACTATAACAAGCAACGTGTGAATGTCCCGGTTTCCGGTCAACGAGATGAATAACCAGTATGTTGTGCTCAAGAAAAATGTATTCAGTACCGGTTTTCTCACGGGTGTTTGAAATTTATCACCAAGCTATGCTGAAAGCGTTCGCCTGTCCTGAACGGTTCGGAAATTCTTGCCTCAACCCCCCAAGAGGCAAGAATCTCCCAGAGGTTAGGAAAGCCTCTGGGAGATGGATCACAGGAACCGCCTCAAGGTAGATTCTATAGCATTGCAAAACCCTAGAAAACAAGGGATTTATTGAATTAATCCTAAGGCAAGGCAAATTCTATTGCATCAACCCAAAGGCAAGATAAATTATCTAGTCTCAGCCCCAATGCACGGGGAATTTCCTTCCGCCAACCCTATGGCACTGGAAATTACCTTCCAAAAACCCCAAGGAAAGAGGATTTCTGTTTCATTAACCGTAAGGAAAGAAGATTTTTCTTTCATTAACCCTAAGGGAAATTCCCTTGTAACAACCTTAATGCCAGAGGATTTCCCTGTATCACTACTTTCACAATCAAGTTTGTGTTGGTAGCAAAACAAACAAAAAACAGTAAATTACGTTTTGTATTCTCATGTATATCTCGTGTATACAGAAAATAATCATACCAATTTTGACGAGTTACAGAACAAATTTAATAAGATGTCGCAAGTCGACCAAAGAATTTATCATAGAATCAAAATATATATTGTTAACAACTAGACCTTATATATTGTATTTACACTTGTACACAATTGATACATGCATCCATAACAAAATTCAATGAGCAAAATTTAAAATTGCACCTATTTTTACTAACAAATAAGGAGAAATAAGCAAGAAACAGAGGATGACGATTCGTTCCCAGGTTTTAGAGTTAAACCGTACAAAGTGTACGCTTCAGACTGAACTTTGACAAATTTTATTTAAAGGTCAAAGTTACCTCTCCATATCATCTTTTGCATTTGTTTCGGTATCAATGACTCAATTTCTGCGACGCAAGATGATAAATAAGTCAACTGCAGACTATTAACCTGAACAGTAAGACGAAATTGAGCCTTGGGACATCTGAAAGGAGAGTTCGATCCTATTGTACTGACTCACTGTTTTCTAACAGTTACGTCACCTTGTAATATTGTGATAGGTCTTAATAAAATCTTCTCTGGTTGAATATATACTGTTGTTTCTGTATAGTGAAGCATTTCTTGCTAGGATTTTATTACTATTTTATGTCCTATTTCTTTCAGGGACCCAACTGCGTAGATTAAAAATATGAGCGCTTCTGCTACCCAGGACTTGTGAACAGACCTGAAAAGACCATGACCCTGCCGGGAAGAGACTAGAGAACTGCCATGAAGATGGAGAGACGAAAAACCAACGTCTCCCCCACCTCCTTCTCCAGTGACACGGTCCTCCCGAAGTGTATCTAATTTCTAGTCAACTTATGCAGTCAATGTGACTGGCTGACTGGTTGAAGGAGAGGCATCGGTGGTCTCCCCACACTTTCCAGTGGTGCGAGTCCTTGGTGTCGAGTTGGGGCCAGATGGGACCAAGTCTGCAGCCCTTACTGCTTCCTGTGGCGGGTGAGTCTATCTCGATTGTATTTTCAACCAGTAGCGTGTAAGATTACTGACGGAGGCTTGGGATAAGGTTTGTACGTTATAGTATGTTGCTGATTGTTGGATGTGCGCAGTGATTTTATTCTGTTTAACTATTCGCTCTACATTTCCTCCATTTTTTCAGCTCTCTTTAATTAGCATTTGCTCTAAACCATTTGCTCCTTCCCATTTCTTTTTTTTTTCTCTCTTTCTCTCCCTGTTCTCTCTCTCTTCACCGCGCGCCTCTCCTCTTCCAGCTACCAGCATTAACATAAGCGTGTCATGGGAGCCTCGCGTCTTCTCTGAACAACTTTGACCTCCACCTACCACACTTAACAGGACCCAAGTTACATCTCGTCCAGGATCCGACAAGTGTTGCTGCATCCTACTCTTGTTTGCCTTTCCAGCTTTCCTCTGTTCCTTTTATAAATTTCGTTCTTCCTCTTCCTTTCTGTATCTCCTTCAATTTTCTACTCCACACTTTCTTTTTCACACCTGCTCTCTCTCTCTCTCTCTCCGATTTTGCTGATGATCCTTCCTCTTATTACAAGGCATTAATTTTCTCACCTCCTGGTTCTTTTCCTCTTGTCTGTATCTCTTTGCACTATCCTTTACCCATCGTTTTATTTGTTGTTTCTGGCAGGGACGAATACTATATATTTATCCATTTTCCTAAATCTGGTCTATAGATCTACTTACTACAGATCGAGTAAATACAAGTGGAAAATACTCTGTGATTTATAATGCAAGAATTTTGAGTCTAAATACATGCTACAAACTCACAAGAATTTCATGTGAAAGATGCATTTCGGGTTGGGTTTGAATTTTGTTGACAGTCATCCATTAATATACAATAGTCAATGCACACAGAGACAGACATTGAGTGGAAGTGGAAATATTAGTTTTTTTATGTTGAATGAAAGTATAGAAAGTATAGAAGAAGCATGATGATGTTATAGAAGATAGGGTATGAAATATGAAAAGGACTGAGTGGTGTGAGCCCTCACTGAGGAACTTTAGGGTTGAGAACTTACAGAAATAGTAACTTGGATCAGATTCTTTCCCTCGCGTTCTTTTTCCTGATGTTGAGTGGAACGGTCTGGATGAAGTGGTAGAATGTTGCAAATGATACCAAAAAGGCAATAAAGTGCGAAATATGAATTGCTATGAAAGGATTGTGCAGAAAGGAAGACAATGATGAATGATTGAAGCCTGGCATAGGTGCCACAACTATTTCACAGAAAACACACAATTTTCATCGAATTAGAACATTAACACAGGAAAAGAATACACGAAACTCTTAGAAAGAAGTTTTTTTAAATGCCATGGCTTCAAAAATTTTACATACATGGCGTAAGTTACACATGATTTCTGAAACTTACAGTAATACGAGATATTTCTAGTAAGGAACTGTAAGGAATCAAGGAAACCAATCTGAAGGACAATGGAACATAAAACTAACATCTGCTGGAAGTGCCATAAAACCAAGGATTTTATGGTAATTCCATAAAAATAGATGTACAATAACCGCGTCCTCAGCGCTACAGCAGCAGCCCCTATGGGAAACCAGGCGCCAGAGAGAGCTCACAAAACATCATTGACTGACTAGGTGGAGCTTCCCAGGATCAGCACTTTGATGGGGATATTTCCTCCTGAATCATCACTTTACCAGCTTCAGTTACCAGTTCAGGTATAAGCTACAGCTACCAGCTACAGCTACTAGTTGTCACTTTGTCCACTCTTGTAGGATCACATAGCCACCACAACTTCTACTGATATTCCAACTATATCATATATGTTGGCAGGAAACGGGAAACAGAGAAATATAGATGTAGATACGGAAAGGAACAGAGAGAAGACGATAGAGGAAGGTAAAGAATGTGAGAGAAGGACAGAATGAAGTAGAGTGATCGAAAGGGTGATAAAGTGAGAGAGAGAGAGAGAGGGAGACCCAGAGCGTACAAAGATCAAGTGCTGGAGACCACAAGCATTCGGGCGTGTCCGCAACAGTCAGGTCCTTGAGAGAGAGAGAGAGAGAGAGAGAGAGAGAGACAGAGACAGAGACAGAGAGAGAGAGAGAGAGAGAGAGAGAGAGAGAGAGACAGAGAGAGAGAGAGAGAGAGAGAGAGAGAGAGAGAGAGAGAGAGAGAGAGAGAGAGAGAGAGAGAGAGAGAGAGAGAGAGAGAGAGAGAGAGAGAGAGAGAGAGAGAGAGAGAGAGAGAGAGAGAGAGGAGAGAGAGAGAGAGAGAGAGAGAGAGAGAGAGAGAGAGAGAGAGAGAGAGAGAGAGAGAGAGAGAGAGAGAGAGAGAGAGAGAGAGAGAGAGAGAGAGAGAGAGAGAGAGAGAGAGAGAGAGAGAGAGAGAGAGAGAGAGAGAGAGAGAGAGAGAGAGAGGGGGGGGGGGACCTGACTTCTACAATATTTGTCTCAGTCTCGCTTTTACTCATTTTCAATTTCTCCTCCACACGCTCACGCACTCATGAGCTCCCACACGCACTCTCGAGCGTGCACTCAAAGTCACACCGCTCGTATGTCTATGTCTCTTGCTCCACCACTTTCTCCTCCACTTCTCCCTCTTGCACAAAATAGCTGCACAAAATAGCAGCCACATACACACCACCAGAGAGATTTCCCACAATAATGGTTCCAAAACTAAATGAACTTTGCTTGGTCTTTGTGATCGGAAGTGTCTATTACAAAATACATGATTTTATTAGGATAGAGCAAAATAAAGACCCTATTCTTACACAGAGAAGAGTAGACAGCTTACAAAAAGAAACTACATAAGATTAGGCGCATATCTAGGGATTGTAAAACGGATATGGGAACGACAGTTAAAAAATATGAGGGATCAAGTCAAATGAAGTAGCAAAGCGGAAGAGATAAATACTATCAATAACAGAGTTGATTCCAAGAAACTAAATATATACCATGAGAGGGAAAATTAGAAAGAGGACAGACAGAAAGCGAAATAGAAACAGCTGGTATATTAACGAATTCATGAAAATCGAAGGAGAATCGGTAACAAAATATAAAAGTTGTATAGTATTCAATACGAAGAAGTAGCTGCAATTATGCTGTCATATTAGGGTAATAAGAGAAAGCTGTGATGAACTGAGGACAAGCTTCCATAGGGGTTCTCCCGACGATGCAGCATTCGCTTCCAGGATTGAGAGAGGAGTTAAACTAAAAGGAGAGACTAGTAAGTATTGAGGTACCAGCAGAGGAGGTAAGGAGGCAACAAGAAGTATACCCTGAAACAAAGATTGCAGAACCAGGGAACACATCGAGAGACAGATTTGTAAACAACTACGATTACGGCTTTAAGGAAATAAAATCTTGCCTAACAAATTTAATGGAGTCCTACAGCTATAAGACAGGACAAAGATGAAAGGGAATACTGCAGATTTCCAGAATTCCCAGAAGTCCTTGGCGTAGTTCCACACAAATGACTACTAAGTAATCTTGGCGAAACTCGAAGAGCACAAACATGGATAGGATTACCTAACAGACAGGAGGCAGGGTTTCATGGGGGCATCTTCATATGACCACCAAGGTGAACCTTTTATACAAATTTAAAGGTCCACTAATTACATGAATTAAAAACCTAAACCCCAGTTACCCTCTTATATTAGATGTCGCCTTGTCCATCCACTTGGACTGGTCGGTAGAGCCAAGTCCTCACTTTTTGCAAGGTCAGCGTTCGATTCCAGAGTCCAAGTGGTTAGTGTCTTCTATGTTGGCAACAAGATCGGAACATAAAGATGCCAACATAAAATACACTGCTCTACATGCTACGCCCACTACACCTGATTAATCTTTGTATGTGCTTCGTACCCTATTTTCGCCTTTTTCTTCATACTTTAACCCCTTACTTTTCTCCCCTTTACGCATTATTCTTGACCCATTTGTATTGGTCTATTTATCTACACCTGACCCCATAATAGTATAAATCCATTATGCCCTGTACTATTCTATCACTTAAGAATGAACCATGTAGGTTCGAAACGTTGAGTAATTTTATAATAAGTGTAATACATTCTACAGTTATTTATTTATTTATTTGTCTTCACCTCGAACGAAGATGACTTTTGGAGAACTCCTCTTCCAATTAAACCAAGATGCAAGAGCAGTAGTCAGAGGAACAGAAGCCCTAAACAAGAAAATAATCAATACAGAATATTGTATTAATTATCAATGCAGTCATATTTAATGAAACATGTATAAATGAAAACCTGCTGCCAGTATACACCAATATATATATATTGGTGTATACTGTATATACATATACATGTATATACGCCAAAATTATATATATATATATATATATATATATATATATATATATATATATATATATATATATATATATATATATATATATATCGTACCAAGTAGCCAGAACGTCCTTCTCGGCCTATTATGCAAGGCCCGATTTGCCTAATAGGCCGAGTGATTTTCTTTATTTTCAAAATATTGTTTCCAGTTGGTTTATTTGAAATATTATTATTATATTATATTAAGAACATAAATTATTGACTTAGTTATGTTAGTTTAGGTTAGGTTAAGTAGGTTAGGTTAGATTAGGTTAGGTTAGGTTAGGTTAGGTTAGGTTAGGTTCGGTCATATATCTACGTTAGTTATAACTCAGATTTAACAAAATTAACTCATACATAATAAAATGGATAGCTTCATCATTTTATAAAAAAAAAATTAGAAAAATATATAAATTCAGGAAAACTTGGCTTATTAGGCAAATCGGGCTTTGCATAGTAGGCCGAGTACTGCGTTCTGGCTACTAGGTACAACATATGTTTATATATATATATATATATATATATATATATATATATATATATATATATATATATATATATATATATATATATATATATATATATATATAATCCCCAGGACTATATGCAACTGAAAACTCACACCCCAGAAGTGACTCGAACCCATACTGCCAGGAGCAACGCAACTGGTA